AGGAAGATGCGCATTCCTGAGAAGTCTGCACGGCAGAAGTCTCGAAACCACGTTTGAGGTTTGGGATTTCTGGCCCAATAGCAGATTAAATCAAAGGTCAGCACACAGTGGTCGCTATGTCCCAGTGGAGCGTTAATGGTTACCTGATCAACGAAGTGTCTTTCGTTGGTGATGACCAAATCCAAGAGGGATGGTAGTTTGCGCGCGCGGTATCTGTTGGATGCAGCGACATGTTGAACATCCGTCCAAGTCATGTGCTGTTCGGTTGTTAGTTACAGCTGGCCGACAATTGGGACCTGCGCGGTATCTGTTGGATGCAGCGACATGTTGAACATCCGTCCAAGTCATGTGCTGTTCGGTTGTTAGTTACAGCTGGCCTCCGGACAATTGGGGAGGGATATGGTGCCAGCTGATCACTATCATTTCAGCGTGCCTACCCCTTCAAACAATCGTCCTGATGGTGTGGGAAGAAACTGCGACCGAAACCAATATTGACACAGGCTAACAGTCACATCTTACAGCGTCTCCAGCCGTGTACAGGTAGATCACAGGCCTCATCCTGGAAATCGAGTCCCAGAAAGAGTAATCCGACTTTTCGTGGTTGCTCATATCCCTCTGTCAGGTCGAATTTGTCACTGGGCCGTACCGTGGTGTGATGGTTTCTTGTGCCATACTGAGTGGTGTGCGTGTGACACAAAGTTTCATACCAGGTTAGCCACTGGTTAGGGGTCTGACCAACATAGTCCCAAGGCACTCCCGTTTTCGGGTTGGAACACGTGTGGCGACTCCTATACAACTGCAGTTGCAATGGTAATAACCATGGTAATTACCAGTGCATTAGTGCACTTGCATTTCCCGCCAAACACCGCCGACCTGCAGCGTCAGCCTTTGATCGAGGACCCCATTTGTCTTTCAATCTAGGTCTAGGCGCCCTGGTAGTATCCCACCCCACATACAACCATGATACTTAGAACTAAAAATAATCCCACGCCACCTCGACAGTCGCGTGATGTCACCAGCCGGATCGCCTTACTTGCTGCATGCAGTAGGGCGGGTAAGCGAAAACATGCTACTGCTGACGCCCCCTTCTTCGCATATTTTTTCTTCCCCTCCCCCATCCCCTTAATATATCTTCTTGTAGACTCCTTCGTCGAGATTAACAACGCGCAAACATTGTTGTTAAAATTTTAACAGCAATGTTTGCACGTTATTCAGAGCTGATATCCTCAGGCAACTCGAAATTAATCTTCAAGCCTCGATGCCCAGCTCATATGACTGCTTTTAAGGTTCGCACTTTAAAGCAAGCGGGAGAACAAACTCTTTCCATCAAACTGGGCTCGCTTGACATTGATGTGTGGTGAGTATCGCTAACAAGAATTCAAGATGCAAGCCTTGGTTTTGGTAACTGCTTCGTCACAGCCGACTCACTCCCAGCTATGCACCTCTGGTGATTCTGAGGCCGCTACCGCGGGATGTGCACAGGTCATCATCATCATCGGCATCACTGTTCAACACTGATGCTTCACTGCCGTACAACCATGAAAACCTTATTGTGAAGAAAAGGATACAGGTGAACAGGAAAGGGACTTATTGCTAGCTGACTACAATCATTTTGAGGTGCGCATAACTCCAGACACTCATTCAACCAATCTGATTAGAAACTGACAACAATAACGCCACTGACATCGGTTGTCAGCCATATCCTGCAATGGTCCTAACCAGGGGGTTGGTACCGTCCTAAGTCACCGATCGAACGTACCTTGCGTGACTGGATGCCCGTTAATAGTCATTTCAATGGAGTTGTCTGGCCACGTCAGTGAATGACACGAAAGCTGAACTCTGATCGCTATCTCTTTGCGGTGCCTGATTACGTCCCAATAGACTAACTGTGAACCAAGCATTGAATGCCCTGTTGCGGCTAAATAAATGCTCGGATGTTGTGGTTTCCGTGGAACTGAATGCACAAGGAAGCAGACTTAGTTTAGGTGATCGGAATGGATTGGCCTCGGTACGTCCGGATAATGCCGAGCAAGTGCTTCAGCTATGTACCGACCGCAGGCTGTTTTTATGCAGTACAAACTTCCAAGATAACTGATGTGGTCTGGTCGCATGATGTCCTCCAGTAGCATGCTGGCTAGGAACTTGAACTAATCACATTGCCATCAGTTGCCGATGGCGCGGATCAGTAACTGCCGCCACTCGTTTCGGAACATAATTCTGGATTCCGACCACAAGGCTGTCCGGGATCACTTCTCCCTTCATTCTTCAGTGTCGCATAATGTGCACTAAATCCCTCAGCACCTGAGAGTTTGGTAGATCCGGAAGTTAAAAGATTCCATCCCTATCCGGTCTTTTTGGATGGGATTGATGGATCAGTGGCTACTGACCCTGACAGATA